GGGTTTGCGCTCTCCTTACCTCCAGAAACTCCACAGCTGTGGGGTCCTCTTTGAGCAGCTTCCCGTACAGCCCCACCCACTGGTACAGCAGGCGGATGATCTTCTGCTTCTTGTTGAGGGAGTACGCCGCCTTCTCCAGCTCGGAGCCTTCTGAGGGCTCGGTGTGGTAGGTTCACAGGAGGGTTAAGGGCCACACTGTGCAGGGCACCGTCACAAGAAGGTCGTCATCTAGTCATCTGCTAGGTCAGGGCCAAGCAGTTACCAAGACCCATCAGTGAATTCCAGTGCAGCTCTCTGGCAGAACCAGACTGTTATGACCACCAAAGGTGTTTGACTAATCAGACAGTTAAACAGCCTGCAGTACTGAAATCCAATGGGCAGAAAGCCTCTATAGCCATGTGTTCTCTGCACCAGTTCTCCTGTACTTGTTCTTCTGTACCTGAACAGTATGTCTACAGTACCTGATCTACCGTCAGTTTTCTTCACATTTGTATTAGAAGATTATAAAGCTACTGGCTGCTGAATCCCCCAGATCTCATTCTCACCTTTACCTACCCATAAGATGGGATCCTTGTTTCCATTTTCTTTTAAATACAACCGACCACCGGTGTCGTAAAAATAATAGGCTTGTGTTTCATATTCAAGTCAACTTTCGACCTTTTTCCCCCATAATAATAACTGGCTCTGCATCCTGACGGCAATCGACTCATTTTTTGAATGACCTGTGCCCTCACAAGATACACTGTGACCCTCCTGGGAGCCTGGTGGCAGGATATTAGTGCAGCAGCACTGGGCAGAGCTGTGATGAGGGCATGAAGACACAGTGGGTTAGGAGGAAGTCGGTCACACAGGAATCTGGGGGAATAAAACACAGTTCACGGTTACGATCACAAGACCTGCAAACCTGCAGTGTGTGGCAGATGACTGAATTAAAGCCAGGTTTTATCTAGGCCTTAACGTTCCCCTTGCACCGGCCTGTAAAAAGTTTTCTGCTCTGGCCAAACTGCCTGCACCTCAGCCACTCCCATTTGCTTACAGTGGATTATAATGTCTGCGAATTTAATAAATGTTCACGGATGTGGTTTCAATGAGGCAGAACAGTAACAATGGTGAGCCTATCAGGTTTGCCTTTTGAGAGCCAAGTGTCTGTTTAGCCTCTCCAGGAAGTCTCTCTCCCACAAATCCGATCAGTTTATCAGAGTTCAGATTATCATCAGGGAGCCTGACCGGCCTCTCAGACGCTCATATATTTAGTAGGCCTACATTCGTCTATGAGCAGCAGAAATGCAACAGGTAGCATTCGGCTTGCCCCCCTGCTACCGAACCTGGGAGTTCGCTGGGGTTCGAGTCCAGCCGCACTGTTTCAAGCAGGTGTTCCAGGATTTTCTCCGGGGTCCCAGACATCACCGTGTACCTGAGGAGACAATGGAAAGGCGGTGGACATTAGCCAAGTCTGTGCGGGTCCCATGGTACAACGCCGCCAAGTTCTCTAATTGGAACAGACTGTAGAAAAACCACATTCAAACCTGGGATTTACATTTATGGGGTGGTTGACTGGTAGTGTGTAGCAAAGGGGCTCTTATTCTGTAATTGCCTCTGTGCACACAAAGGGTTACACCATTGGGTGGCAGTGAGTCTTTGAGGATTCCTGATTGGCCATGTGTCTTTGCCCTGTTGCGGTTCTCCTAGTGGCCGGTGGGGGGGGGAGGGGGGTGTCTTTACTTGTTGCTGTTGGCTGAGCCTCCCTGACTGGACTGCTCGCTTTGACTGCTCTTCTCCAGCACCAGCACCACCTTCCCATGCTCCTCCAGCCGCACAGTGTTGGCCTCCACATCCTGGAAAAGAGCCCGCACCACAGACACTGCTGAACAGGGCTGAGAAATACCCATCATATGAGGGCTGAATGAGGCCACTGAGCGGCCATTTAACCCTTGCTAGTACAGTAGCAGCAGTGTTACTTTCTAATAATAAGGGAATTGTTGTCACTATCCTTGAATATCCCGTGACTAGTAAAAAGCTGTATTCGAGTACTGGGGCCTGTCGTATTAAAATGAGCACACAAACACCGAAGCTAATGGAATTGTCCAATTTTCCAACAATACTTCCACATATATGTATAAGCCTGTTATAGGAGCTGTCAGGCTCTGCTTGATACTCAGGGCAAAGGTGCCACATACTACATACTGCTGTGTTTGTGTCTGCTCTGTTTTGTGCTTGGTGGTGTGTCACATACAGTATTACGTTTATCAGCACTGCTTGTATAGAGCTGGGTAATTGGGAGATCAGGCTTTGCTGGATTTGACTGAGGGACTGACCTTGAGGATGTGGATGAAGTCCTGCTTGTCTACGCGCAGGAAGTGGCAGTTGTCCTCGCGCAGGATGATAGTAGCCGCACGGGGGGCATCATTCAGAAGGGCCAGCTGTCCAAAGTCATCCCCCTCGTGAAGCGTGGTGACCAAGCCCTGTCACGATGACAAGACACACGCAGAGAGCACGGTCATCTGGGTAAACTTCTGCTGACATTTGGTTGGAAAGTGCCTTAAGATACACCAAAGAGTGCATTAAAGTTTTTTTTTTTAATTGCAGGATTGTGTGAGGGCAGCATGGTGGTACAGTACAGAGGTTAGCATTGCTGTCTAGCATTGCTGGGGCTGTGGGGTGCTATCTGCGTGGAGTTTGCATGTTCTGCCTGTGTTCGCAAAGGTTTTCTCTAGGTGCTCCAGTTTCCTCCCACAGTCCAAAGACATTCTGGGAGGTAAATTGGCTTCTGGGAGAATTGGCCCTTGTGTGAGTGTGTGCGAGTTTGCGTCTGTGTCCATGTGTGCCCTGCAATGGACTGGAGTCCGATCCCCTGCCTTGTGCCCATTGCTTGCCAGGATAGGCTCCAGCTCCCCCACCACCCTCAATTGGCTGAAGTGGTCAGAAAATGGATGGATGGCATGACTGTGTAATTGGCACTATGCACCTGCAGAGCCACAGGCCTTACTCACCTTCCCGTGCGTGATCACGTTGACAGAGCCCTTCCAGATGATGTACCAGGATGTCCCTTTGTCTCCTTGGCTGAACACTGGCACAAGCAGAGCAAGACTGGGAGTCAGCTTAGGGCAAAGTCCTTCACAAGCACAAGTGACAAAACAGGACCTTCATCCCAGTTTCTGTAGCCGTAAGTAAGCTGAGAATGCAAGACTTCCCAATGGGTGTTAACAGTCACAGATTAACACCCCAGCACTACTATTAACCATTTATAAAACACTATTAATACAGATAAATTACAGTTCTTTCTCAAGGACATAACATGATTGTGCTCATTAAGGACTTCAATTTATGTCCCTCTACAGTCAAGCAGCCAGTTCTGGACTTGTGTGAAGTGCAAACAACTTCCTGTAGGCACACCAATGCACTAAAATCCTGCAAATTAAGCAGCATGCTTCAGCTAATTTTAGACACTAAAGAAGACATTCAACACACTTCTGTATAAATATCAAGAAGATGCATGTACATCGGTACAGCAACAAGTTAAAAATGCAATTGCAGGAAAGTGCAAACTACTCACAGAGCGTTCCTGCCTTGGCGTGGGATTCAAACACCAGCACAGCAGCCAGTTCCCTCCGGACCTCAACAACAAGAGCAGCAGAGAAATCATCTCATCTTACAATTAATTACTTTCACATGCAGGAGTCATCACACCTTTACATATAAAGCCTCTCATCTCAAAGGAGCTGAAGCACTCCGTGTGGAAGTGAGGACTAAATCCACCACTCAAGCTTCACTAACTGAGTTAAGGGGAAATTCAGGGAGACCAGACTGAACAAATCCGGGACATCAAGGTCATTACCCCCTCATTCCCATTCATGGGGACGGGATGCATTCCCATACCGCACATCACCAACTCAGGAACTGCAACACGGACTCCTGATTATTCTAACATCCCCACGATGTATGTATTGTACAACAGAGACCCCTGCACTTCAATAGACATACCACTGTGGAACAGGATATGCTGTGTGTTGTGCTGTGCAATGTGCAATGTGCAATGTTGGTGGTTGTTTCCCATTTTAGACACTAGGTGGCACTACAGTGCAACTGTAAAATGATCCAGAGACACCTGTGCCCACATAAAATGAGAGGCATTGATGCTTTGGTCGTGAAATATGAACAACAAGCACAGAATAGCATTAAAGGTTGACATAACAGGAAGGTGTCTCCGGGTCAACAGAATCTGAAAATCTGAGTGGCTTAGTGTTCAGATGTGAGTAAATGTCTCTGTGCCGACATTCTAGCGAGAAACGAGTCTCACAATGTCGGTCTCGAGCGGTTTCATCCTCAAGCCGCGGAGCAGGGGGCTGGGAATGGGGGACCTGAGGCTTCTTTAGACCCCCTGGCGAGGCGCTTGTGTGGGTAAAGAGAAAGCGGGCGGAAGGATAGTCCCGGCGGCAGTCTTACCGAGCTGGAGAGATGGGCTACGGCCTTGATGTGCAGCAGCTCCTCGAAGATCACCTCCAGGTCCTCTGGACCCCTCTGGCTCGGCCTGGGAGGAAGGGCAGAGGGATCAGAGCTCCCTGGTAACAGCCTTGCCAGTCCTCAGACTGTTCTCAGCATCCTTGTTAGAAGCCCAGGCGGCAATGTTTCCGTGGAGAAGTGGACATTTTACTTCTGTCTGGCAATTTATTTCCCCGTTACTTTATTAACTAGGCAATAGTTTTATAAGTTAAAGAGGTTCAAGTAGGTAGCCGGGCCAGCATGCATAGGTCACAAAGGAACGGGTAAAAGGCTCTACTGTACAACCGAAACGTTGTGTCTCTTTTCCTTTCAGCATGGAATAAGCCTTTACCTGTAGACCCATAGTCTTTATAGTTCAAACCTCTAAAGGGAAAATTTGAATACATGCATTTTTTAAACAAGGCATAAGGCATACAATAAAATGCCAAAATCAAGAAGGAAACCGGCACTAACACATCTGTAGCTGGTAGCTCGTGTTTCATCACGCTGGGCCCTGATGCGACAGGGTGCAGATGTTCTGTTGAAACTGGAGCCATTCCTCTTTACCTGGGCCCATTCGTCTAACTGTGGCAGCGCTCTCTGCACAGCAGACAAGGTGCCCAGCTGCTCAGTCGCCTTCAACAAGCATCCGCGGAGGTGCCCGCGGGCAGGGGGACCCAGGCTACTTACGGTTTGCGCAAGATCATGGTCAGAAGGGCATCGGGACCCATCTGAGCCAACAACGCCATCGCCTCCTGAAGCTCGTCCTCCGAGTCCTTCTCGGTGGCCGTGTGGTCCGCCCCGAACTCGGCCTCCAAAAAGTGGTAGAACTGGGCGTCTTTGTCTTGGAAGTTCAGCTCCTGCTTTGCTTGAGCGGAAGGGGAGAAGGCCGGGTAAGGAAGACGGGGCGCACCTCCGAAGACAGGGCTGGGAGATCAGCGTGCAAATTGCGTGGGCTCTGACGAAGAGAACCCCGCTTTGCACATGAGTGAAAAGGTGTAGATTCATGCCGTCTGAGTGCAGGTTGGGCTCTGTGACCCACCTGCAGGTTACTGTTCATTTGCTTAGCAGACGTTCTTTTCTCAGGGCCATGTCACTAGCTAATGGTTTGGGATTCTCTAAATGGCGCACAGTTGGCTGAGTACCAGCTAAGTATCGCCATCGACAACGTCTGGGATTGGTTGACCACTGTGGCTCCCAAAGAAAGAGCGATCCCTGTGACCTGCTGGGAGCCGGCCAGACGTCTGGTGACGTCAGCGAGGGACGAGCCGGTCCTCCGGCTGGCAGCGAACCTGCTGTGCGTCACTGTGCGAGATGGACAGGCCAATGGGTGGGAGGATCAGGGGAGCACGGCTGCCCTTCCTCGTTCCCCCTGGGTGGGCAGAGGGATCGGCACAGTGAGCCGAGATGGAAAGGCACAGCGGGTCGATCCCACACCCAGCAGGTATAGGTATAGAAGTGTGTGTAGAAGCTATCCTGTTGATCAGTACAAGCTATCCTGTTGATCAGTACAAGGGTGGCCCACCTTGTCTCTTCCAGTTCCTTCTGCAAGGCACTGTAGGTAAATCATTGATGGGTAAAAGGAAGCAAGAGGCAAGTGGGAATCCAGAATGTTGACAAGACCGACCATCCTAGTTATCTGAGATCCAGCCCTCACTCTGCAAAGTAAGGGGTGCAGGGGTCACTCTGCACTCTACTGCCACACTTACCATGAACAAGAATCCCTTCGTCCACTAAGACTTGCCACATGCCCACTGCCTGGCTCCGCGATTGGATGCTGCCATTTACTTTCATCAACCAGTCCACCAGCTCCTTCCCAGTACAGCATCGTCTACCACAGGGAGCATAGGAAGAATTAGCGGAACCCCAGTTTTAGCAGCATGAATTAAAACTTGCTCCAAACCAGGCATACAATGCTACTCGAGAACTTCAACCACAAGGAGCTAGAATGAGACCACAATCTGTCTAGGGCTCATGCTCATGGGTAGGAACCCCTTTAAAGTCTTTTGCCACTTTACCTGTAAGTCTTGAGGTGGTACTTCCTGTCCCTGATCAGCCCTGGGCTGCGTTCGATTAAGGCAGCATAGAGAGCCCTTCCTGCCTTCAAGACCCGCTGGAACAAGAACTGGAAACAGGAGAAAACTGGAATTAAAAACGTGTGGCCCTGGTGGTTAAAGTGACGTGCACTGTGTTACAGCAGAAAATCATTTAATATGTACTCATGCCAGCACAGAACGACAACAGTGACCTAAGTGCCAGCACTGTCATCAGCGGATGACATGCAAACACAGGCTGCTTTCGTCATGGTCTGACAGGAGTGTGAGACACCACTTAGACTAACATCAGGCAGCTCTCATACACACGCCTGTGCACAGGCATGCATTATCTTTCCCACAGATCATGTTTTCTGCACTGCACATTTTAGCCAACATTCCTTATATTATTCTGTCTCGTAACGATTGGTAAGATCATATTTTTCAACAGAGAATTACCTGAGAGCATCATGAAATGCCCGACTGTCACCCCCCTCTCTTCCCCTCTCCCTCAGCTTCTGGCTGTTTTGCAAAGTGCTGGCAGATTTATTCAGGTTTTCTGGCATTGGTACGGTACTGTATGTCTTTAAGGTGTTAGGGACTCAGAATAAACACACAGCTGTAGGACGTAAGATGGACACTTTTAAAGTCTTTCCCAGGCTCCCCCTCTCACTGGTCAAGCCTTCAGCCCCAGGCAAACTAAGAAATACAACTGCAGCCACTGCTGACACAAATCTAGCAAGGCAAAGGGACACGTGGGTAGATGTGGAATAAACGGTGAACGGAGGATGTTTGAAATACAACAGAATTGCAGACTTTAAAATTAAGAAAGGCCATGAAAATATTTTTGTACAACCTCAAGCCTACAAAAAGATATTAAGTCATGAGCCGCTTTTTGAATTTGGTTTGGTTGAGCATCCCACAATCTTCTCGCCATGCACAGGTTCATTTCATCCTAGACTGCGTGCCAAAGTAACTAATGCAGCAACAATAGCAGGAATGTTTTAATTACGGGGCTGCATTCTTAAGCCAGGGGTCGGGCTGGAGAACGTGCAGGCAGCAAGCTGTGGAATGGCTCCTGTCAGCTGGGCTCTCGTCCGCATCAATATCTAAATTCCAGCATGAGAGCTGTTCCCTCCCCCGGTCCCTGTGGGCCCCGACTGGGACTGGCACTGGGATTCTGTCTGATCTTCGGACCTCCCTGCGGGCCTCTTCCTCGCCTGGGCCCCTGCCCCACAGCTCAGCCTCCTCTCCCAGGCAGACAAGCCTGGCGTGGGTCATGGGCAGGAGAAATCCCCTGGGCGAGCCCAGCCCGCTTTCTCAGAAGAGAAAAACATTATCCAGCCTGTGAACCATCTGCTGGCACCTTAACCCACCAGAACGCTCTGCCTGAGGGTCTCTCCTCTCCTTAACCCCTTCAGCGCCTAATGAGGAGCATGGCCAGTTCCCTTACATGACAGAACAGACCCCGTCAGCTGGCTGTGTACTCTACATTCAAAGCACAATTTGGCCAATTTAATCAAATTTTAACCAAAGCTGATCCTGTCCTATCTTTGCTGCTTGTCACGCTGCCTCAAGAGCTAGAAATTACTTTCGAAGTGCGCCCTGGATGTTTTGTGTCTGCTTAAATGAATTTACTCCTTGAATTCCTTGATAACTGCAGCTCCCACTGTGCTGCACTGTCAAAGGCACATGGCTGCTCACTCCCAAGAGGCTGTGTGGAGTTACTTTGATGGATCTTTTCACCCTTATCGGTCTAGTGTAGGGCTGCAGGAGTGGACCAGTACTGCATTGTTCTTTAGGACAACTTCACGGTGTGTGACCAACATTGTTAGGTCACATTAAATAAAAAGAGGATAAGGATTTTTAACAATAAATCGCTTCAGAGCTGGCTGTAATCGATCGTACAACACAATGATCACAACTTACACCAAGCTGCGGTTTGGATGTTTGCCATCCAACAGCCAGGCGAAATAACAGATCACCTGCATGAGAAAAGGAACCAGCTGATGCATTCACAGTCATTGTCTCTTGCCTTGTAGGACAACAAAAACCAATTCATTCTGAGCATGTCAGGTGTCTGTCCTTTATGTGAATGACACAGTTTAAAACAAAAACTTGCTTTGTTCCCTGATTGCTGGGAGTCTGTCGCACCAACATCTCATCCTTTTTAGAGTGTCATGTGGCAGAGGAACTGAGAGTAAAGTACAATAGGGCTGAGCCAAAGTTCAGAATCACCGATTACATACACGTCCCATCAATCAAATGATTTAGATGTTAATAATTTAGCATGAGGGCACAATTCTACTGGAGATTACTTGTCAAACAGCAATGTGAATGATAACCTATGTTGCTAGAAGATCAAGAAAAAAACTGGGAAGATGACTGATGAGAGTTGGCCATTTAGCCTATCTAACTCGATTGATTGCTAGTAGCCAATTAGTCTGAGGATCTTATCTAGCTGTTTCTTGAATGAAGCCAGGGTATGTGTTTGAATAGCATGGCTGGATGGCTTGCTGTATGCTCCTGCAACTCTTTGTGTACAAGTGCTTCCATTTTTCAGCTTTAAATGCACATCCTCCTAGTTTACAATTGTGTCCTGTGGTTTGTGTTTCTTGGCTGAATCTACAGACTCTGATTTGTCTATGTGAATCAATCAAGCACTAAACCAGAACTCTCCAGCTGTGGTCACAGAGAGGCCCTGTCCCACAGAGAACTTCAGTTTCTAAAGACTGCAGTGACCATTTTTCTTAATAAAACATTGCATTTGGTTAAATGATCAATAAATTACAACTCATCACAATCATTAGAAAAGGGCAACTTAGGGTGTGATCCTACAGTTAGGGCAACATACAATAAAGTGATCTGAGTGCAACTGTAAGAATATCATTCTTCCATCTCTGAAATATTCCAAGACTATGTACTAAGTTGTCCAAGACCGTAGAAGAGACGCTGCTCAATGCATTTGTCTTTTCTAGAATTGATTAGAACAACGCCCTGTTCACTGGGGTATCTAAGTCCACACTGAAAAAACTTCAGTATGTCCAGAATTCAGCAGCCAGAAGCCTCACCAGGTTGCATGCTTAAAGTGATTACATTACTCCTGTCCTGCACCAACTTCCTATTAGGTTTCATATCGACTTTAAGGCTCTGCATGGTTGGACACCTCAGGACCTGTCTGATTTATTACCTTCCTACTCCCCACCTTGCAAACTTCTTTCGTCTGACTCGGGTCTCCTGTGTCTCCTGTGTGCCCCAAGCTTGCCTCTATTCTGTGGCTGACAGGGCCTTCTCCTGCTGTGCCCCAGAGCTCTGGACCTCTGTCCTCCAGGATATCACACAATCACCTTTCCCAAGCACTTTCAAATCCAGACTCAAAACCTTCTTCTTCAGAAAGCCTTTTATCTAATTGGTGTCTGTGTCTGGTCCTGGCATCTTCTAATCTACTGCATTTTCTAATCCCTAGTCTTAATTTGTGCTAATTTTGTTATCTTCCATCTTTGTAAACTGTTTTCTTTTGTCCTGTTTATTCACTTTTCCTGTACAGATAAGAAGCTACTTTTAAAGGCACTGCATACAGTTGTTATTATTATTATTATTATTATTATTATTATTATTATTATTTTTTATTAAGGATTTTATAGTGCACTGAACTGACTGAAGGGGAAATACTCCAGGAATTCAAAATCTGTATTGGAACTGCATGGCTTTCAAACTGGAAGCTCGACTGACAGGACTGACAGAGCACGTCAAGGAATGTCAGGGAGACTCACGAGTGTTTGTCATTGATCCCCGCCAATCACAGAAGCGAGAGTCATGCTGGAAGAGCTTCATGTGTGACATTTTTGCAACGTTGCTTTTCCTGTGCCCTGGAGAGTTCGGATGTTTTCCATGGTTCAGGGGCAGATGTGGTTAGAAGATGCAGGTGGGACACACTGAAAGGGCTTCGTTCTCTGCATTCCTGTGCTTAGTATTCATGTTTTGAGCTCTGTGTGGATTGAAGTTATTCACTATTTGGTACAAAACCAACAGCCAAAATATGCCATCATATTGTGTGGTCATCACTTCTGATTAATCAGACTAGTTCCTACAATATTTAAAACCAGCGGCTTGGAAACAGACGCACACATTTTGTGCGTGTCCATTATGTGCTTGTCCCTATCTGCAGTGCAATCCTCATTCTAGTGCGTGAAATTCCACTGCACCTCCAGACCAAACAGAGAAAACACTCAGCCACACTCTGCCTCTGCATCACTGACCTCCTTGATAACACATACAGTTGGGGTTCCGACATCTGTGAGTTTAAAAAGGCGCCGTCCTTCGGCTGAGACATAAAACCGAGGTCCTGACTCTCTGCGGTCATTGAAAAATCCCAGGGCATTTCTCAAAAAGGCCTTTACCAGTCATGGCCTCCTAATAATCCCCCTCTCTGAACTGGCTTCATCACTCTGTTCTCCTCCCCACTGATAGCTGGTGTGTGGGGAGTGTACTGGTGCACTATGGCTGCAGTCACATCATCCAGGTGGGGCTGGACATTGGTGGGGATGAAGGGGAGTCCCCATTATCATTGGGACACGGGGCTCTTGGATGGCGGATGGACAGAGTGGAGTGAAACTGAGTTGAAGGTTATCAAGCACAACTTTCAAACTTTTTAGCAGCGTAACAGACGAGAACTGTGAGAAATCTAGCGGGTGGGCGAGCCTCCCCTGCCCCCTGCCCTCTGCTCAAGTACCCACTACCCAGCACCCACCTCCCAGCCTGCTCTTGTTTCTGTATGGCAGCGATTGTTACCGACACCCCCAGCTCTGTGTCAGCGGTGTGGGAATATGACAGTCCGCAGGCGACTCTAGAGGCTCTCTGACAGTCTTATTGCCCGTTTCATTACAGTGGGAAATACCGATCACGGAGCAGGGACAAAGCTGGGAGGGCAGACTGAGAAAGTGCAGGCAGAGGGGGGATTCTCCGAGAGGGATTTCAGCTGATTACTATAAAAGTTTGTGATTACTGCTGTTTTAGCTGATCAGTGATGTTTTAATTAACTTAAATAAACAACAAATTATCATATAAGGGAGGTTTACTTATGTCTTTTAAC